CTCACTTCAAAGAAACTCTCTTGTATGGAAGGGAGTCTCTGACCTTTGAAGAAGTTTAATCAGCCTTGTATTCTAAGAGCTTGAACAAACGAAAGAAGCATAAACCTTCGACGGTGGGTGAAGGTTTGGCCGTTAAGGGAAACTTCTTGCGAAAGGATGGTAAGTTCGACAAGAAAAAAGGTAAAAGTCAACAGAAGTATTATAGTGGCAAAACATCTGGTATTCGATATTATCACTGTAAGAAGGAGGGTCATACAAGAAAGGTATGTCCTGAACGCCTGAAAGATCATGGAGGTAATGGTAACGTAGCCATTATTCAAGATGACTTCGACTCATCTGATGTTCTTGTGGTTTCAAGTGGAGACACGAGAAAAGAGTGGATTATGGATTCAGGTTGCACTTGGCACATGGCTCCAAACAAAGAATTGTTCGAGGAGATATGTGAATAAGATGGTGGATCTGTGCTGCTGGGAAACAACAAATCTTAAAAAATTGAAGGTATTGGATCTGTGAGATTCAAGCTCCATGGTGAGTCAATAAGGTTATTGACTGAAGTCAGGTATGTACCTGACTTGAAGAGAGAAAAGTATCCTAAGAGTCATGAAGGGGTTGAAGGAAGTCTTGAGAGGCGTGAAGAAACAAGGCTTGTATACCCTTGAGGATGAGGTTGTAAGTGGTTCGACAAATGTTGTATCCACGAAACCTGTGTCGAAGACAGAATTATGGCACATGAGATTGGGCCATGTCAGCGAAAGAGGCCTGGTCGAATTGGGCAAGCAGAACCTGCTAGGAGGTGACAAAGTCGAAAAGTTGGAGTTTTGTGAATCTTGTGTATTTGGTAAATCCTGTAAAGCAAAGTTTAACAAAGGCAAGCAAAGAACACATGGATCCCTGGATTACATTCATGTTGATCTTTGGGGGCCTGCAAGGAATCCTTCACACTCAGGTGCAAGGTATTTTCTATCCATCGTTGATGATTATTCCAGAAAGTTATGGGTATTCATTCAGAAGACGAAGGATGAAACTTTTGAGAATTTCAAAAGTTGGAAGATTTTGGTCGAAACTCAAACTGGCAGAAAGGTTAAGAGGTTGAGAACTGACAATGGCCTTGAATTTTGCAACGAAGCGTTCGACAGTTACTGTGTTGAGTCTAGGATTGCAAGGCATAAGCATTTAGCAAATACTCCTCAAAAAAATGGATTAGCTGAGAGATTCAACCAAACAATCCTTGAAAGGGTTAGATGCATGTTGGTTAGTGCTGGATTGAAGAAGGTGTTTTTGGTGGAGGCTGTTTTGAAAACAAATTACCTGATAAATAAATGTCCCTCAACTGCCTTGGGAATGAAGACACCTGAAGAATTTTGGTCGGGACATCCATCTAGTCTCGACAGGCTGAGAGTATTTGGCTGTGTGGCCTATGCTCATATTAGGCAAGACAAGGTCGAACCTAGAGCTCTAAAATGCATGTTCATGGGATACCCTGAAGAAGTCAAAGCTTATAGGCTATGGTGCCTAGAGCCAGGTCATAGGAGGTGTGTCATCAGTCAAGATGTAGTTTTTAATGAAGCAGAGATGGCTTTCAAGAAAACTGATGATGCTAACGAATAGCTAGAACATAGAGAGATTCCTGTTGAGGTGGAGCATGTTGATGCTGAATTGCGTACCCCAAATGAAGTCGAAGAACATGCAAAAGATATTGTCAAAGATGAGGAGACTGATAATGACTACTTGCTAGCAAGAGACAGGTCAAGGAGAATCATTAAGCCACCTCAGAGACTTGGGTATGCAGATCTTATAGTTTATGCCTTAATCTCTGCAAGTGAGGTTCTAGACAAAGAACCTAGAGACTATAAGGAAGTTATGAAGAGGCGAAAGAAGACTGAATGACTGAAGCCCATGGATGATGAGATAAAATCTCTTCATGATAACAACATCTGGGAATTGATCAAAAACCTGCTAGAGCTAGGTTAGTCAGCTGTAAATGGATTTTCAAAGTTAAGGAAGGAATCGAAGGAGTGGCGTCGAAGAGATACAAGGCAAGATTGGTTGCTAGGGGGTTCACTCAGAAAGAAGGTGTCAACTTCAATGATGTGTTCTCTCCTGTTGTGAAACACATATCCATTTGAATATTGCTTGCTATAGTGGCGCAGTTCAACCTTGAACTAGAACAGATGGATGTGAAGATTGCGTTCTTGAATGGTGATTTAGATGAAACAATCCTGATGAGGAAACCTGAAGGGTATGTTAAAAAAGGGAAGGAAGATTATGTGTGCAAGCTGAATAGATCCTTATATGGATTGAAACAATCTCCTCGACAGTGTAATAGGAGATTCGACAAGTTCATGGCACACATAAGTTTCATCAGAAGTTAGTTCGACCACTATGCTCTTGAGATAGAAAGCAGTCAATACACACACACACACACACACACACACACACACACACACACACACACACACACACACACACACACACACACACACACACACACACACACATATATATATATATTATACTTTTGTTTGTACCTGTATTACATAACCATATCACAGAATATAGAACCATATTTCACAGATTTCTAAGACAGAAACTTGTACATTTTGCCAATATCTCAAACAGAAATGTTGTACCACAAATATTAATTGTTTACATCAAATGCAAAGGCAAAATGACACACACCTTATATTTTACATTAAAACTAAAACAAAATGATTAACCAAAAAACAATAACCAAAACGGAAACCCTTGTAGGCTGTCCTAAAGTTCTATGCTAAGATTTGTCACTTGTAGTTAAGCATCTATAATTTAAACAACATTTGAAACCAATTAGAATAATCATCAACAACATTAAATCTTTAGTAAAAGATTAAAAATGAGCAAAACGAATAATTATAAATTACTAAGTGATATAAAACATTTACTTACTAGTTTTCTATAACCCCTGTTCATGATCAAGACAAATAGCATGCACATCATCTGAATCATTTTCTTCAGATGAATGACATACATGTGTTGCTAAACAAGAATTATAGTTAAAATCTTGACTTTCATTAGTACTATTAGTAAGATATTTTTGTGAAGAACAATTGATCATCTAGTGTTAGAAGGATCAGTGAAATAAAAAATTTCTTTTGCTTAAGTTGCCATGATGAATGGTTCGTTCTTGTAAGTTGTTTTTCGAAGATCGACTAGTGTAAATCCTAATTCATCGGTTTTTACACTAGTGTTACTGACAATCCACTCGCACTTAAATAAAGGCATTTTAAAAACAACATAATAAATCTCCAAAATCTCCTCAATGACCCCAAAGTACGCTCTAGATGCTAAAATAAGATTGTTATCTTTGAAACTAGAAAAGTACATGGATTCAACTTCAATCATAACCCCGCTATTTTGCATGGTACTACGATCATCCTTTAATTTTGTATAGAATGAAAATTTAGTAATGACGTATGCACTCTAAGTAACTACATTAAACTTAGGCATACATGACAATCATTTAATTGTCTCTGATGCACTATTCTGTTTAGAAACACTTTCATTAAACCAAGTTATGAAATTTTTATTATGCTTTGCCAACAACCATCTTGCATTCATCTAGATCTGGGGGAATTATTCCTTTATAATACTTTTGTGAGCGATCAAGTACGGTTGAATTCCATCCATGTTATTCAATATATACAAATGTGCTTGAAAAACTACATCTCGTCCAAAAGTTTTAACATTTAAATCTTAAGTACCTCTTTTTTTATATCCTCCATCATGACGAGACTCAAAAATTTCTATAGAGTTCGCTTCTGACAAATAGTTTGTACAAAATTCAATAGCTTCTTTTGTGATGTATCATTCAACAATCGAAGCCTCTAGACGATAATAATTCTTTGTATAACCATTAAAGATCTTCATGTATTACAAAACGTGTTATTGTGGAAGACAGATCACACATATCGTACAAAAATGTCCAACTAATTTCTCTTTTAATTATGGGTGCATGTCATTCATGGCCATTGGTACATATTTAGAGCTAGGAAACTTAATATTTTCCAGTCCTCTTGTTATACTTCTCAATGAATTTAGATACCAATTGCTTTAAGTTCATTAGATTTCCTTCAATTATCTTTGGTTGAGGCTACTAAAATATTTCAAGGAAACACCTTTCCACATCTTCCCAAGTTTTTATTAGGTTTGGTGAGAGAGAAGAATATCATGAAAATTTTTCTTCTTGAAAACGATAAAAGGAGCACCAAAATGTCAACCCATTTAAGATAAGGCTTCTTATACACAAGCACATACACATGCTTAAGTTACACTAGTGTATAAATAAAAATAGAATTAGAGATATTACATATTTTTTAAAAATGGATGTAAAAACACAAATATGGTGACAGTTTTGTAAATAAAATTTCAATTTAAATTTTAACGCATAATAATAGACACTCTATTTCTTTTTTTAAAAAAAAATTTAAAAACAAACATGATGACAATTTTATAAATAATATTTTAAAATAGTTATAGAGTTTCACAATAGACACTATATTCTCAAAAAAGATGATGTAAATTATTTAAAAAAAACTATATTCTCATCAAATTTATATTACTTCCTTTATTCTAAAAGAGGGTAACTATTTTCTTAAAACTCAACTATAATTTTTTTAAACAATTCTTAAAAGTATTATAAACCAGAGAGTTGATATCTTCTTTAAAGTAGTTTGTTTGATCGAGTTTGAATAACAAACTATTATGTTCTTTGTCTTTGTATCTTATTAGATAGAGAGTTAATTTTTGCTAAAAGCTATTGTTTTGTGTCCATACACATAAATTTCTTATATGATTGAAATCTAAATAAATCTGCTGAAATACTTTTAACTATTCTATCAATTTCAATAATGCTCATACATTATTGAAGAAAAAAAATATTTTAATTTTAATTTAAAGATAACTGAACACAGAAATCGCAATTAACATAACATAATCAACAAAGTTACAATTAAGAGATGCATCTACATAGGGATTTTGGCAACAAGACAAAGGGGATTCTTCTTGTGTTGAGTGATTCCTGGCAACATTTCTGTATCAATATCTTCCTTTTTTAACTCATCTGGCAATTCCCAATCAAATGAATAGAGAAGATTAGCAAGAAAAAGCTCCAATGAAGCAACTGCCATAGGCATACCTGGACAAATTCTACGACCAGCTCCAAAAGGTATTAGTTCAAAATCTTGTCCAGTAAAACTTATCGAACTATCTAAAAATCTCTCTGGATAAAACTCTTCTGCATTTTCCCAAACATTGGAGTCCCTTTGAATAGCCCAAGCATTCACATACAATATTGTTTTTGCTGGAATATCGTATCCTTTTATAGTGCACTTTTCACGTGCTTCTCTTTGCACAAGAAGTGGTGCTGGTAGATGCATTCTTAGTGTTTCTTTAATCACTGCCTTTAAGTAAGGAAAGTTTTGAATGTCATCTTCGTCTAAAAAATCTTTTTTATCTCCCACATTTCTAATTTCTTCTTGTACTTTTCTCATTACTCTAGGGTTTTTTATTAGGGCAGTCATAGCCCAAACTGATGTGGCTGATGTGGTATCTGTTGCAGCTACAAGCATATCCTGAAATTAAAAAAAAAAAAATAGTTGATTTATGATTGAAATTTAATCGGTATGCATCAACTCTCATGTATCCTGCTACATTATACTGTAAATTTTAAATTAATTGTATGATATTACAGATTAATATAATGTAAATTTTAAATTAATTGTATGATATTACAGATTAATATATTTTTATTAGATGACAATGTAAAACTATTTTACATTCTCAGTACATATCAATTAAACTCTTATGATTAAAGACATTAACTCAATTTTTTTTCAAAATATTTGCATGTTATCAAAATTCTTAGTTGAACATTTAAAAAGAAAATATCTTCCAATCTTCAAAATACATCTATATTGGAATATTATTTTTGGTCTTTATATAAGATTCTGACTTTGTTGTTAGCAAAATAATCTAATTTTATATCGCCTTTAATGTTAAGATATAAGTTATAATTATATTATTTAATGATCATGTGCGAAAGCTTGTAATTGAAGTGGAATAAAAATCAAACTGCTTTCAACATTTTAAATAGTTTTAGAAATAAATTTTAATTTGATAAGATTCTTTTTAAAAAATAATTAAACATTTATAAATATTAATAATTTATTTATAATAATACATATAAATAAATTCATTATAAACTAAAATTTTAAATCAATAATTTACAATTGTTTAATCCAATTAATTTACATTAGTTTAGATATTCCACACATCCACTTTTACGTTGTCATTTAAAAAAAAAGTTGTTTCAAAATGAATATCATTCTTACTCTTTAATGTAATAATAATTGATATTTTTTCAATTCTGTCATATAATTATTATTTTATACACTATTTCTAACATATTAATAAAATTAATTTAATAAAAATACAATATTTTATAACAATATCATTGCATTTTTTAATCTATATATAAAAACCTTAAATGAAACTAAATATTAATTTTTTTTAATGGTTTTCCCATTAACTATTGTTTTCTCCAATTCATCCAAAACAACTCAAGAACACTTGACTAAAATAACAAGACCTCTTTCATTTCAATAAAATAATTCATTCTTAAAAAATACAACAATATTAATTTTTTAAAGAGAACTTTATCATCCATAAAAATTCTTCATAACTTGAAAAATTAGTATATAACTTGAAATATTAATTAGTATGAAAATTAGTATACAAATTCTTCATAGAATATTCGGTTCATATGAATTTCTTTTTTTATCCATGAAAACATATTAGAGTAATATATAAAATGCAAAGAAAAATAATTTAATGTGATAATATAAAAAAATTAGTTTCTTTTACCAACAATCAAATTTAGCCACATCCTAAAGAAAAAATTTAATTATTAATTAAACAAATGTTTCTTTAAATGACATATAAAATAGAAATGGTTTTAGTAGGCAACTTTGCTAACAATTCTAATTTTCCATAGGGTCTTTATTTTTTATTTTTTCAGGGGTGAAATTATAATAAAATCAAAAATTTAGCACCTAATAATATGGTCATGCTAACCCGAGCATTGGTTAAAATATTTAAATAAAAAAAACATATTATATGTTATTAAGTATTGAATACATTCAATATTTTTAAAGCAAAGTAAATTATTTATATTTTCAGTTTATGGAATATATATTATTTTTAAAAAAACAAGTATTTTTAATTTTTTTTTAAATGTTCAATTTATTTTTTTTAATATTTTAATCAACGCCTTAGAGGTATTGCATTTTCTTAATAATATTACACCATATTTGGTATAAAAAATAAGTTGAAATAAATAACTTATTTTAATTTTTAATATATTTTTTTAAATTTATGTTTTAAATTTTATATTTAATTAATATTATTTTATTATTCTTAATATTTTTTAAAGAGTATTTCAATAAAAATATCATTCTTTCTATTATTTATTTATTTATTTTAATTTTTTTTCTATTATTTATTTATTTATTTTTATTTTTATTATTTATTTATTTTAATATATGTGAAATGATCAACTAAATCACTTGTACAATAGAATAAGGATTGTTTTTTAATCGAATTTGTTCATGTTTATTTAAGATACTAAAAAATAGTTTTAAACATAATAAGCAAATAGAAACTTTTTTAAAAAGAATATTTTTTCTTAAGAAAATCTATGATTTGAAAGGAAAATTATTTTCTTTTGTCCATATATTCACATGTGTAGTCCCTACAGAAATCTTAGCTGGTTGGTCATGTCCACCCCTTCAATAATCTAGAGTCTTCTACTTTTATTTTGAGATATTTTCTATACTCAAAACAAGACAGTGTTCTATTTATGAAATATATAAAATATTATTATATCGCAATCTTAATTCAACTCTAAAAATATCGGTATGATTAAATTAGACCATAATATCAAAGTTTAAACTCGACTTTTAATTATCAGATGAGATTTTAATAACTATTATCATTTTGTCTATAAGTTAAAATAAGAAATTATTATCAATTATATATATATAAACTCATTAAAATAATTATAAAAAGGAAAATGAATTAAAAAATCATACCATGAATACTCCTTTGATGATATCAAAAGTGATATCAAAAGAAAACGAACGTTTTTTCTTCAATTGCAACAAAACATCAACAATAACCTCTTCATCTCCATGTTCTCTATTTGGATCCAAATGTTCATCAATAATCTCTTGATAAAGCTCATCAAACTCTTTGAAATTTCTATCAACTCGACCATGCAATCCTCTCAGCTTATCAATCCAACTCGTAAATGGAATATAATCAGCAACAAAGATTTCCATTAACAAAGCTTGAAACTCATGCAACATTTCATGAAACCTACTTCTCTCATGTCCTTCATCTTCATAGCTTTTTCCAAAAGCAATTCTACATATTATAGTACTTGAAAGAGATATCAATACCTCACTCATATTTGTAACACTTGAAGAATTAGCATGTTCTGAAATTTTTTTAATCATTTTCTTCACTTCAAAACTTCTTATAGAAGAATAATATGCTACACGTATGGAACTAAAAATATGAATAACACAAATTTTTCTTATTTCTCTCCAAAAATCATTGTATTGTGAAAATATAATTTCTGACCCATTATAAGATAATTTTTGTTGGCCATATAGTTGAGGTCTGTCAGAAAACAAATGGTCATGTTTTTTCAAAACTTCTTTGGCAATTTCAGATGAAGAAACTACAATAGCTTGTCTTGAACCAAGTTTGAGTGAAAATATAGGACCATATATTTTTGAAAATTGTGCAAGTTGAAGACAAATATTAGAAATGTCTAGTTGGTGAAGATTTCCTATTATGGGAAGGCCTTTAGGACCAGGTGGAAAATTTTTAGTGGTTTTTTGCTTGTGGAAGAAGATTAGGAGAGGAAGAATTAGGCATAGAGCAAGGAAAAGTAGTAGTGATAACATTGTTAGAATTAATGTCACAAATGATGGACTATGAGAAAGAAGAGGAATGAGTAACTTAATCCTTGTGAAGGCTTATATATTAGTTTAGTAATGATCATCTTTAGTATAGAAAAAGAAAGAGATTTTAGTCTAAAAAGATAAAATTATTTTTTAGTTTTTGAAAAAAAAATTGGGACCACACATGGTATACATAAATTAAATTTCAATAAATGAAGTTATGGTGATTTATCATAAATTATACACCAAAAAAAAATTATCTTTTAGTTATTGAAAAAGAAAATTGTGATCACACATAATTTTTAAATAGACCTGTTAAAATGGACTACTCGGTCTTAAACGAATTGGTCTTAGTGGACTCGAGTTCGTGGATAAAAAACTTTATTTTTAATATGGGCTTGAAAATTATTACCCGAGTCCAACCCTAGATGAGTTTTAGATTATTTAGCCATAAACGGACTTTTTTAAAATAGAAAATAAAAATAAAAATGCTATAATATTTCTTATAAATAAAATTAAAAATTATATTATTTAAATTTAATAAATTTTTAAGTATTATATTATTTTTTATAAATACTATAATGTGTTTTCAAATATAAGATATATCTAAATTATATAAAATAATACTCGAATATTTAATATAATAGAAATTAATAGAATACAAGAATAGAGTGTTAATCATATTAATGTATAATATTTAAAAGACAAAGAATGAATAGAATAGAATAAAATTTAGTGAGGTGAGAAAAATCAATGTGTTATTTTAGAATAAGACAATATAAATATTAATATAATTTTTTAAAATTTATAGCGATGTGAATCTAATAGACTACCCTCGGCCCGTGTGACTTGTTTGATCAAAGAAGGGGGTTTATGTGTTAGAAATATTGAGCTTTTCAATATTTCTCTTCTTTTGAAGTGGAATTGAAGTTAATAATCTATCTCTAAAAAAACCATCATAAGCATTATAGGGGAAAGAGTTCCACCAAGTGTTCTAGTTGCATTATTGCCCACACTTTCTATTCTTTCTCTATATGAATTGTCTTAAAAAAAATACGAAATATCTTAAAATATGAAATATCTAATAACGTAGAAATTGTTTTTCCACTTTGTAAGAAGATGCCACGGGACAATGTTGATATTAGTGAACACTTTTATAGTAGAGAGAAAGTCACTTTTAATCCAAAGTTTCTTCCAACCTTTTTAGTTGGCACGATCAATAGCGAATATAATATACCACAAATTCTAAGAAAATGAGTCTAAGAAAATATCTAACGCATCACGAAATATACCAAAAATTCACAAATCAAATTGTATCTTAATGCTTCATCTGTATTGCATTTCATCCGATGGGACCTACGGCAACACTATAAAAATATGATAAAATAAAGGGAACAACTCTTTTTATTGACTAGTTACTCTGGGTACAAATTTCCTAAACCTTCAAGAGCTTTCTAAAGTTGATTTGGTTGCTAAAAATCATAAAAAATAAGAAACTAAGAGACAAAAGAATTAAAAATAGTTATTTTTATTTATATGATCATACCGGAATTCAAAATCAATCAGTCAGTAATATATCGTGAGCTTTAAATTTACAGGTGATGGAAAAGAGGAAGGGTGTACCTGCAAGACACTTCGATGTCAAAGTGAGGTTCAGAGTGAAGAGAAAAGACAAGTACAAAATAGTGAGTGAAATCATAATACCCGACCCTCCCGTAGAGGAGGGTATTTATAGAGTCCCCAACGCTGGGCCAAAGGTCATATGTTGTGGGTTGGATTGTCATACCCATAACGGATGACTGCCAAGACCCTACGTGAAAGCAAGGAAGGCCAGCACATGGTCTTCATCTTGAGTCAACTTTCCCGCGAACTCCGACAAGTGGATGACTAGTTCTCGAGGGCAAAACTGTCGCACGAAAGGCGTGGGTTCAGTTGGTGTCGTGCTCCTCGTGTGAATAGCACGTGGAGAACGTGTGAGGAACGTGCCCTTAGTGGCTATGATGGATTTGGCCTATGTTAGACCTTGTTCAACGTGGAACTGGGCTAGGTTGTGCTTGACGGTGGGTCAGCCCCAGATCCAATCCAAAACAGGAAACTCCTAAGTCGTTGTTCTGAAGCAGAGGAGTAATAACTTAGAGTCAATTCTTACGTTGAAGAGGGACAAATGAAATTTTCCCAGGGAGAGCGTCTATTTGGGCTCGTGGTTGTGAGCTCGTGGAGCTACGCTCGCGAGTAAGCATGAAAGTTACTCCTTGTTCCCAACAGCGCGAGCATGTAAGAAGATTTTCATCGAGACGCTACCCACGAGGTTCACGCGTGTTCGACGACAAGGTTCAGCTTCGCATTTATCTCGAGGCCATGCCCTCGCGAGGGGGCTAAAGTCGTTATATGTGTTCGACAATGTAACTTGTTTCAAACCTTTCTCCGAGGACGTGCCCGTGCTACAATGTGGGAGTCGAGCATTGTGCTCAACGTCTTGGACTCTAGAGCGTCGATGAGACCTGGAATGACGAGCTCTGGGCCATGTGATGGAAGTGGAAGGAGCAGATACGTCATTCCCTCGAGCCGTGTGATGGGGCTTGAAAAGACAAGTGTGACGTCTCTTCTAGCCACGTGTCACGAATGATAAATGCCTCTGACAGCCTACGAGTAGGGGTACTCGAGGGTCTAGGTGACGATTTGTTTCCCATGCCAGAGGATATAAGTAGGAGGAAACGGGATTCATTTGGTATGCTCGCAGTATTCTCAAGTTCTCAAAGAATTTCTCAAGATTATGCTTTCTCCCAGATTCGCTTGCCGTTGACGTCGCCGTCGTCAGCCCTCTTTCTGTCCCCGTAGATCTCCAGCATCCTCTTCACCCATGTAAGTCTTTGTTTCCTTTCTCAGTTTGTATGGTAGTAGTTAGCCTCAGAATGTAGCTTTAGGATCCGTTTCCGGAAAGTGTTGGCGTTTGACGGCGGTTCTGCCATCCTCAACCGCCGTTTGCCGTCGAATCTCGAGTAGGAATAAAACAAAATGTGTGTTTCCTGGTGAAGCTCATGAACTTCGTGATGAATGTATGCATTTTTTGGCGATTTCTATGAGTTTTCCGGTGGCGTTCTTGGACTTCCGATGAATTTTATGGAGTTCCGATGATGTTTCCGAGGAATTCATGAAGTTCCCGATGCACTCATAAAGTTTTTGATGAAGATTTTGAGGAACTCGTGAAGTTTCCGATGAAGCTCGAAGTTCTTGAACTTTCGTTGGGTTTAGTGTCGGGGAGAGTTCCTCATCGCGGGGGTGTAGAAACTCTCTAAAGAAGTCTCGTGTCAAGGAGGCTCTTCCTCGCAAAGATTCTGATGAGGAATCCTCGTGCCGATGAGGCCTTTCCTCGTGAATACTCTGAGGTTTATCTAGGGGCTTCGTGTCTAGGAGTGGGTCCTCGCAGTCTCCGCGCTTGCCATTTGAACAACAGGGCTTTGGCAAGGAGTATGTCCACGTGTCCCTCCTTTCCCTTTCACTTGATTTGCAGTGGAAGGGTGGATTTGATTTAATTGTCGAATTCATTTTTTCCCCTGCTTTTCAGGTTAAAATTGCCTGCTGTGTCGAGGAATTGCATCTAGTGGACACCATCATCGATAAAGACCTACAATGGGTCGGGGTAGAAACTCGCAGGATTGCTTCATGATTAGCCGATGACCCCTTTGACGCCTTTGTCTTCATCTCAGAGCTGGATCACCCCGAGGACCCTGAGGTTGTGGAGAGCTGAGAGGTATATAAACCCAGGAAGACAGAGCGGATCAGTTTGAACTTTAAAGAGGACCGTTGCACGGTGTATGAGTTTGCTTTCAAAGAGGCGGGGTTTCATTTTCCGTTCAGTGACTTTAAGGGTCCGTTTGGTTCAACGGAGGGGAGGGGAGGGAAGGGATTTTAATAAAGGGGAAGGGAGATAAGGGGATGTATTTTAATTAAACGTATGTTTAGTTCATAAGAGGGGGAGGGGAGGGGAGGGAGAAGTTTTATTCAAATATATGTTTGGTTTCCAGGGGGAGGGGAGGGGTTTTAAAACTAATTTACCTTTTTACCCTTGAAATATTATAACAATCATGCTAAATAAGTTTTTAAAAAAAAGTATTCATAAAAAACGTAGATAATTAAACACAAAATATTTAACATTTAAAATACTCTAAAATATCTTGATGATCAATGATCCATTTAATTCTATAACATATTTATAAGATTAAATTCTACATAACATATAACTCATACTACAATTATATATTGATATGTAATATAATACAACAAATTATAAAATAATTAAGTTATTACAAGCAAAATATTAAATAAAAATGAATAGAATAAAACACATGGAAAAAAAGTTGAATCATAATAATAAAAATAATGGAGTTGTCATTAAACAAATGAAGGAATTATAATAAGGTGACAAAAATTAAGGTATAATATAAATAAAGACAATTAAAATATTTATTAAATAAAAGTGAGGATAATTTTGTCAATATAATAAAAATACATGTTATCATAACTCCTCTCCCTCCTCTCCTTTCAGAAAACACCCAGTTCGGGGGGAACGAAAAATTGCTCCAAGAGGGATTCTGATTACCTCTAATCCCCTCCCATTCCCTTATAAAAAATTGAACCAAACACATCTATTTTAAAATATTCTCTCCCCTCTCCTCCCCTCTCCTCCCCTCCAAAACCCCCCAACCAAACAGACCCTAAGACTAGGCTCTTTGTTCGGTTGGAGTTGGCCCCTTCCCAATTGCACCCAAACACGATTGCGTTCATCCGGACCTTCGAGATTGTATGTCGGTATCTCGACGTCGGCGCCACTCTCCCCTTGTTCTTATGTTGCTTCCACTTGCAGCAACAATCCTTCAACAAAAAGCACAGCTAGATGCCTTTCAAACAACCGAGGAAGTTGTTCAAAACATATGTGGACTCTGTTTGTGCCTTTAAGGACAGATACTTCCTGGTTTGACATGTGTCAGAGGCAGCCATCACCT